CGCGATAGCGGGCGAAGCAAAACTGGTAAGTTTATAAAGCTGTACTTAGCCGGTTCTTATAAATAAATAATTGCCCTCCTAATTCATCCTGACCGAGCTCAGCAACCTTAGGTGTCCTTTCATCTTTTCTCAGTTTAAGTCTGCATAATAAGAAACGAGATCCGAAATCTCATTCTTCGTGAAATCGGGTGTTAGTTATGTGGAATAAGTGAGTGGCTGACCCTGCTCCTTATATGTTTCTAACCTCTCGTAATCTTTTTCTTTCGAGAAAGGACTACCCTATGTCGGAATGGCCTATCCCTGCTAATGTGTTTCCGAGTGTTGATCTCAAAGCTACCTTTCGAATTAGTGGAACGGTTCTCTGATTAAAGTTACTTGTTTCTAATGAACGCCCACTTTAAGAGACACCGGACACGGTGTCTGGAAGCAGAGTTCGGCTGAAAGGTCGTGCTAGCGGCTTCCACTGGTGAAACCATGGATGATTTGTGCTGGAGATAAAGTTTTGCTCTTTGTAATTAGGTTTTTTCAGAGTATAAAAAACCATTTGTTGAAATTTACAATTCATACATATTCTGTCATGTTAGAGAGATCAGCTTCAAGCACAAAACAAGTGTCAGAGCGGTGCTACGTCATGGATGGTGACGTCATTTCCGATTATGGACTAAACAAATGTGATATGCTTGCCCAGTGGATCAAGCTATCGCTCTACGCTAACTTCCAGAAAACTGACATTTGCACCCAATCTCAAAAAGGTGGCCGACAATCAGTCCTTGGTGGTGACCCTAACCACTACCCTTCTACCTAGCATGGATAAAAACCTCCTTTATCAACGTTCTCAAGAAAAACAAAAGTGCCCCACGAAAACTCGATCTAACGGCCACTTGCTCGTCGGCCCGGGCCGTCGCCACTGCAATATCTCGCTTTGTAACTACCGTTCCGCACAATGCGTAGCATTCAACTTGCGAAGTCTTAAAAGAGGAGAGTAATCGAGAAAAGTCCCAAAAAAAGCAGCAGAAAATCACGAGAAACAAGCTCCACTAATATCAGTGATCTCTCGCCAACTTATTTCGTGGTCGGCATTTCGTGCTGCCGTCTCAAAACTTTTCAGAGCGCATCGCATTTTCGTCTTGGTCCAGGGTTTCATATTTGACCGCCCCAATGGCGCCAGAAGTTTGCAAATGGGTGGTAGTCGCAGCCTGCAGTGTGCGAAATATGGAGAGAAGGGTAAATGTGTCATTTATAGGAATTTATATCTTGACGCCACCTCACAATTAAAACCAGCCACCTGGAAGGAGAGCGTCCACTACGCTAGTGGCGTTGCGTCTGCTAAACACCTTTTGTTCAGCTTGTTCCCTCTATGAATCAAAGTAGTTTTGCAGAGAAATCATCGCTGGTGTAGAATCAGGTATGAAATATTGCGTATGTAGTCCACTCTTTCTATACCATTTGGTTACATTATTTGCACGCAAATGAGCACAGGACGATAAGCAAAACCCATGGACGATATTGGAAAAACTTCTGCAATAATGGGAAACTTCTCTGCTGCTTGCAAAATAAGCAGGTGGCGTTGAAATTTTGAGCTATCAATCAGCGGCATGGTGTCATAAATTTTGAGAGAACTCGTCCAGGCACTCCTTTTTCTGACTATTAATTGCACTAATGGAAACATTTGCCACATTCAAGATTTTTGTTTCGTATTTGCAGCTCAAAGGGCGGAAGTGGTGTAGTGGCAAGTGGCACGCTTACCACGCGAGCGGTCCGGGGATCAAATCCTGGGTCGTGAGTCGCCCGGGCCAACCAAGCCTTCCATCCCTCCGGGGTCGGTTAATTGGTACCAGACTTGTCTGGGAGGATAAAAAAACACTGACTTGTACATCGGCTGGCCCCCGCAAGTCATTGTATAGGCCACATCGCATTCAAACGCCACTACGAATGTACAAATGGAAGTAGAATGCGTGCCGCATCCCAAAAAGGGATTGATCAACGGCAAATGCTTTATCCTTATCCTTTATCCTAATCCAGCTCAAAATCAGCGAAGTTTAGGTTAGGAGTGGCTCGAAAAATCTCTCCGGAGCTACTCGGCGAAACGACCCAGAATAGTGCCGCCGTCACTGCTTTAGGAGCTGTCGAGAACGAACCCCCTGCCATAGCTGGACAATTATGAAGACAACTTAATGGGCTTGCTGGCACTATTTAAAAAAACAGCAAAAATTAGTTGATTCTGGCAACTCTCGTCTACAAGTTACGAAGATCCAGCAAAAATACACAAACTCCTCACAATACTACCTTAACTGCGTGGTGCGTTTAGCAGACCACCTTCAGAAAAGCAACATGTGCCTCTGTTGCTGTCGAAATAGCTGAGATAAAAAGTCCGACGATCCGGACCACCTCGAAAAGGAATTTTACAAATTCGTCACTCAGAAGCTTGAGGCAGAGTTTCGACGAATGGTGGTGGTGC